GCACTTGTCGCTCTTGCAGAGACCTGGATTCAACCAAGCCCCAGACCTACATGGTGGTTCACAACCATCTGATCCAGGGGAACTGATGCCTTCTCACCTCTGAGGCACCAGGCACACAGTTGGTGCACATACACACATGCCGGCAAAACACCCATACATGTAAAATAATCTTTAAAAAAAAAAACCCTCAATGTAGAATCTTAGTGGCTATTTTACCAGAGATTAAATATAAGTAACTGGAGCAGTGACACCATCAAGAATCAGTATGGCATTCCTTCTTGCAACAAAGATATTAAAGACAGTATAGAGGCCTTATTTTTTAGTTCATCACTATTAACATTTCATAGTATAACAAGGGATGTAATGTTCAGGTTAGCTCTTTGGAGGTCATCTTAGATTCAATTTCAACATGTTAGGAAGAGCAAAGACAACAAAATGAGAAACTACACATTATCTTAACAGCAGCAAGTAAATTATGACTTAATTAAAAGTTTAATTCCTGAATTATTTTAGAGCATATGATAGAGCTAGTATATACTGATGGAACCCAAGTCACAGTGCTTTGATTTCTGATATATTGATTTGAAATGGTACAAAGGTCATAATCAGTGGAAATCATAGTTCTAGTTTGAAATTTTGATTTTCCTGGACTCAATATGTATCATGATATCCTTAATGTTGGCATAACTTCCTGTAAGCCATGCAATCACTAGGACATAACTGATACTCTGCAGTCTACTGAGTTGCTAAGCTATGAGATTTGATAGGTAAGGTGAACTAAACACATTGAGTTACATTTTCTTTTTAAAAATATTTATTTTCGCTGGGCGGTGGTGGCGCACGCCTTTAATCCCAGCACTCGGGAGGCAGAGCCAGGCGGATCTCTGTGAGTTCGAGGCCAGCCTGGGCTACCAAGTGAGTTCCAGGACAGGCGCAAAGCTACACAGAGAAACCCTGTCTCGAAAAACCAAAAAAAAGAAAAAAAAATATTTATTTTCTGTGTATGTATATATGTGCACACCTGGTGCCCACAGTGGTCAGAAAAAGTTGTCAGATCCCTTGGGATTGAAGTTATAGATAGTTGTGAGCTACCATGTGGGTACTGGGAATAAAAAACTCAGGTCCTCTGCAAGAGCAGCAAGTGCTCTTAACTGCTCACTACTACTCCAGCCCTGATATATTTCAACTTAGGGTATTTTTGGGATAGATACAACTTTGCAAGTTGAGGAGCAGCTATGTACCAATGCCTTTAATATGTTATATGTAAGCAGTTTTCTACTGACCCCAAACATTTTTGGTTACTTCCAGTTGACCATTTAAATATATTGGTTTCTCAAGACTATGATTCTCTTTACTGTCTTAGATTGTCATAAACTAGGAAGTTTTATGCACATGGAACCTAGGCATTTCTACTGTTTAACTACACAGTTACTACTGTATAGTTCTAGGAGTAAAAATATGCTACATAGCTGAAGGAATATTGTTTGACTGTGGAGAGCAATACAACTTTATACTCTTGTCTTAGAAGCTACGAATCAGCCCCGCCCCTGAGTCTGTCTTTGTCCCCTATAGCATAACACTTTATTGCCTTCCCCTGTGCTCAGGAGTAGTAGATATAAGTCAGCGTTAGCCTCTAACTTGACTTAAAAGAAGTATTAACAGTACTGAAAAGAATGGAAGAACATAGTGGTAGTAGAATATTTCTGCATAGACAGTCTGCAATTTTTACGTGGGTGGCTATTCCAAGAGAGAGGGAAACATTTGTGGCAGTCAAATCCCATTCCAATTTACTTCCAAATTATACTGTCTTTCCAAAGAGCCACCCAATATGGGCACTGGAAACGGAAATTCAGTCTTCTGCAAGAGCAGTTTGTACTCTGACCACCTAATCTACCTCACTAGGCCACATTTTCCTTTTTTTTTTTAAAATGGTAAAAGAATCCAAAGCTTTTTCTTCTAACTTAAAAAAATACAGTACATTCCTGTGATCGACAGTTACCCCCTGTGCAATGGTCCTTAAGAACTTTTACTACTAAGTGTGATGTCCTACCTGTGATGGCTTTCCATGTCAGCTTGACATATCCCCAAATTAGAGATTGCCTACATCAGGTTGGCCTTTGGACATGTTTGTGGGAAATTTTCTTGATTGCTAACTTATCCAACCCACTGTGAGCAGCATCATTCCCTGGGCAGTGGTAATAAGCAAACAGCATGCAAGGATGCATTTATTCTGTTTCTAACTGTGGATATGATTTGACAAGCTGCTTGAGTTCCTGCATTTCAGGAAATGATGGGCTGTAACCTGGAATTGTAAGCCCAATAAACCAATTTCTTTTCAAAGTTCTTCTTTATCAGGGTATTTCATCCTAACAATAGAAATAACATTAGCATAGTACCCATTGATCAATTATGCTGGTTTGTTTTAAGTGTCAACTTGATACTTCCTAGAACTGCTTGGGAAGAGAGTCTTCAATGAGGAATTACTGCGCTCAGGTTGGCTTTTGGTATGTCTGTGAGGGACTGCCTTGGTTGTTTATTGACGTTTGAAGGCCCAATCCATTGTGGGTGACACATTTAAGAGGCCATCCTTAAGCTGTACAAGAGTGAGGAAAGCTAGCTAAGCGCAAAGGAACAAGCAAGGAAGGACATGCTTATTCTCCTTTTGCTCTTCACTGTGGGTGGCATGTGACCAGCTGCTTGACTTCCTGCTTTGACTTCCTCAAAATGGTGGGACTATAACTTGAAATTGTAAATGCTGAATGAACCCTTTTTTCCAAACTGCTTTTTGTTCAGAGTATTTAACTGTAGCACAGGAATGAAACTAGAACGTCAACCTTCTCACCAGTTTTCAAAGTGACCTGTCCTTATAAAACTAAGAATCAAAAGATTCAAACTCTAAAAAAGACACTGAGGGTTTTAGTGCCAGGGAAAATTTACGTAGGGAGAAAATAGCTGATATTTCAAGTGTCCATTAATATTTTAAAGTTGGTTTAATATGTCTTATAAAAAAGATGTTTCTAATAATGTAAAATTTGCACATTAAGATTTCTGTTTGTAACACAAATGCAGTACAAACAGAAGTAGTTAATCTTTTGTGCAGTAAAACCTGTATAGCACGCCTTTAATCCCAGCACTCGGGAGGCAGAGGCAGGCGGATCTTTGTGAGTTCGAGGCCAGCCTGGGCTACAGAGTGAGATCCAGGACAGGCACCAAAACTACACAGAGAAACCCTGTCTCGAAAGACAAAACCAAACCCAGCCTGTATAGTAAAGGATTGTTGTGAAGTTTTACACAATTATGGAAGTGACAGTGGAATGTCTGTCCCTGAGACAGACAAAGCTTTTTATGTAGAGCCACCAAACCACTGAAGAACTATTAATTATATAATGCAGAGGAGACTCTACCTAAAATTTTCTGATTATAGTATTTTGGTGGTAGAGTGCTTGGCAAGATGTACGAGGCCATGGGATCAATGACTGGCACCACCAAGACATTTTGAGTATAAAATACATAGGAAACTCTATCTTTTATTGAAACACAAAAAGAAGTATAAACTTCTTACATGATAGTCCTGCACTCCAATTTTTCATTTGAAAATTTATTAATTTTTTCAATGTTCAACAAAAGAGTAATTCCTGTATGACTAAATTTAAGACTAAAGTGAGTTTCTTTTTACAGTTTCTGGTGTTACCTACTTAGAGTCTCAAGACAACTTAGAAATGTGCATACTCCTAAGTTGAAAGATCAAACTTTCAATGAACGCTATTAGAACACTCACCACCCCATCTCCTACTTGAAATATTTAAGCGATAATTTCAATTATTTTGATGCTCGCCCTCTCCCCCTCCCTTTCTCCCTGACATGTATATCCAATACATCATGTACACATATACCAGCAATTGATGATGTTATCATTAGGGGAAGTCTGTCTTAGAAGATTTTCTAACAATACTGAAAATGAAGCCTCTAGAAGTGAGTCTTGTTAACATTCTAGATTTTAATGTGAAACCAAAACTGGAGTCTTATTTCATATCCATAGTACAATGGCATAGGAAATAAGGGCTGCAGTGAGTAGTCATGGCAGTGAGTGGCTACTGGGTGGGGGTGGGGTGGGAGCATGAGGGATAGAGAGGCTCTTTAATATAGTGTTCAACATATACGATGGATCAGTCATGAATGTGAGTGCAAACACAGCTATTTCTTTCATTTAATGCAGAGTATACTTTCTTATTCGACCAAACTAAAGTGGATAAAAATCCATGTCACCACCCAAACAGTTAATCAATCTGCAATTCTTTACTATGATGAGGCTATTTCTCTCACATGGTGATCCTGAGCCTCACTAAAAAACCCAGTAAAATAAAGGAAGAGAATCTCTTGCTTCAGAGCTGATGACCAGAACATAGAGAATATACACATGAATCTAATTAGATTAGATTTAATTGGGTGCTATACTATTTTTTGGCCTGAATCTGATTCAGCGAATACAAATATATTAAATATAAAGTGGAGATATTAGCTGTTTCATCTCCCTACAACTACTCTGTATTATTGACACAAATAATCCTATGTGTCATATCCAGAACAGGAAAATTAGATATAAGAAGATATTAAAGGTTACCAGGGACTTCAGAGAGAGGACAAATAGGAAGGTGAACTTACTGTGTAATGAGAACAGAGTTTCTACTTGTGGTAGTGGAAAAGGTTAAAAATTCTGGTAATAATTTTTATAGTGCTGTGAATATACTTAAAGACACTTAAAATAGTTAAAATAAGCTTAAGTTTAAGTTTATGTATCTCTGTATCACAACAAATAAAACATTTTGACCATGAATGACTTATAACATTTCAAAATTAGTTAATAGGAATTATAGTTAATTTAGAATTTGTTTCCTTCATATTAAATAATTCACTAACTGTACTTTTTGGATCGCAGTGGGGTAAAACTGTCCAGAGCATAATGGAAGGAAAGCAGGAAGAACTCAGACTGAACTCCTTACTTTAATGGGCTCAGGCTGCATTACAGGCGCAGGCATAGCAATGGCGCTGGAAGCGTAGACCTGGTGGTACGCTGCTTGGACCCCATGGTCGGAATACGGCTGTTCCAAGAGGCAGCGAGCAAAGGAGAGGAGGGGAGAGAAAAAAGAGGGGTCATTTTTATTACTAACATAGTTATTCAGCACTTACTATGTGATATGCTTGCTGCCTCATTCAAAAACCCATTCATTATGTTTAATGAACTTATTGTCTGATCAAGAAACAGACATTACTCTAAATCATCACATCTCCTGTGAGTCATGTATATGATGTATGGGGAATAACGATCACTCAAAAAATTCTAAAACATTATGCGTAAGAAAACTGGGGAGGCTGGGCGGTGGTGGTGTGCGCCTTTAATCTCACTACTCGGGAGGCAGAGGCAGAGGCAGAGGCAGAGACAGGGGCAGGCAGATCTCTGTGAGTTTGAGGCCAGCCTGGGCTACAGAGTGAGTTCCAGGAAAGGCTCCAAAGCTACACAGAGAAACCCTGTCTCAAAAAAAAAAAAAAAAAAAGAAAAGAAAAAGAAAAAAAATTGGGGATGATGGTCATAAAAAATTTCCTAGTGGCACTGATGTTTGATTTAAAGACCTGGGGACACAGTGAGGGACAGCCAACGTAAGATATCTCTTCTGTGAGGCTTACTTAGGTTGTTTGATAGAACATTATACACTAAGGCATACAATAAATAAGGCAGAAGAACAATACACAGAGGGCAGATCATTTAAAAATTCTATTTAAATAGTAACCAAAGCAGGGAAGGGTGTGGGGAAAGCGGGACCTTTTATTGTTGGTGGTACTATAAACTGGTACTGTCACTGTAGAAATCAGTATACAGGTTTCTCAAAAAATTAAAAATAGAACTACTCTAAGACCCAGCTATACCAACCCTAGACCTATATCCAAGCGATTCTATATCCTACGCAGATACTTGCATACCCAGTTTATTGCTGGTCTATTCAAAATAGAAAGGAAATGAATCAGTCTGGTTACCGACCAACAGATGAATGGATAATGAAATAAGTTTATATTTAACCCAACAGATTCCAAATGTTATCTAAAGTACGCTAATTATTCAATCATTGAATTTGTCAGTATTTTTAAAATTTTTACAAATTTTACACTTCCAGGACGCCTCTATTTCTTCTTCCCCCCTTTCAGGTGCTCAACTGCTCTAGACAGACAGTGACTGCAAACTCAGGAGTGATGCTGACATAGAGCTATGGAGAGGAAAGCATCAGATTGCAGGGAGACCCAGACATGAGAAGGAGCAAAAGGTCAGCTTACAAAGGAAAAGAAAATCTGGTAAAGAAATTCCAGGAGCGGGCAGGGCCATGTAAACACAGGTGTCAGACAGGTCACCAAATATGGATAGTGTTCCTGAAAGGTTAATAAGATTACAAAGGCAGGAAAATATTTAGTAATTAGGATGTCATTAAGGAGCCTTCTTAAAGGCAGCTTATGCAGAAAGACAATGAAGTAGACTTCAGCAGGTGTGGAATAAAATGGTGCTGATCATTAAATACTGAATACAGCCTATCTTTCAAGAATCTTAGTTTTGAAAGGTAGAAGAGAATTAGGGGATCCGGGAAAGAATGTGTCAAAAGATAACAGTTACCTCTCAAAGGTGCTACAGATATTCAAAGAATTTTGTATCAAACAGCTTTAATCTTTTAATACCGCAATATGGTTTCTTGATGCCTTCACTTCTATACATAAGGTCATTCTGAGGTCAAGACTGTGGAAGCTAATTCCCTGAACAATCACAGCAGAGCAGTGAAGCCGAGGACCAATGGAGAGAAGCTGACTTGGACCAGAGATGGACTGAGAGCCCTGACAGGAAGGAAGTGGAGGTTTCCAGAGTGCAGTAAGTAGAAGCAACCTTGGACAAGAACAAAAGATCAAATAAAAACCCATAAGGCTGGATTAGGACCTGTTTAAGTTGGTATGTTGGGAGTTGGAGGCTAAGTTGGTTTCAACTTCTATGAAAGAGAAAGCACAGATGTATGTATTCTAGGACTGACATGGGGGAGATCTGTAGTAGTCAAGGCAGGGTAGAAGTTGGCTGGGGATTGAATTAACATACTTGTTTTCTTTTTAGGAAACCTGATCATAACATTCACAACGAAAGTCCTGCAGATTTTAACTGTAAATCATTACAGTCTATTTATTAAATTATATATTAATGAGAGTATTCATTCTGTTGGAAACAGCACCAAATAAAAGCATACAGGATTCACTGAGTATGGAAGTGCCATGTAAAGTAGAAGCCAGCAGTCACAGCAGCAGCAGTCTTAGAAACGACTTCTTAGATTAGATAAGGAGTGGCTATACACCGATGGGGAGTGTCTGACAGCAGAGACGAGAGTACGGCTGAAGGCCAAAGCAGATTCTGGTGAGATATCTAATGTCAAAGTTCTGGTGAAATAGCTAATGTGGAAGTTCTGGTGAAATATCTAATGTCAAAGTTCTGGTGAAATATCTAATGTCGAAGTTCTGGTGAGGTATCTAATGTGGAAGTTCTGGTGAGATAGCTAATGTGGAAGTTCTGGTGAGATAGCTAATGTGGAAGTTCTGGTGAGATATCTAATGTGGAAGTTCTGGTGAGATATCTAATGTGGAAGTTCTGGTGAGATATCTAATGTGGAAGTTCTGGTGAGATAGCTAATGTGGAAGTTCTGGTGAGATATCTAATGTGGAAGTTCTGGTGAGATATCTAATGTCAAAGTTCTGGTGAGATATCTAATGTGGAAGTTCTGGTGAGATATCTAATGTGGAAGTTCTGGTGAGATATCTAATGTCAAAGTTCTGGTAAGATATCTAATGTGGAAGTTCCGGTGAGATATCTAATATGGAAGTTCTGGTGAGATATCTAATGTGGAAGTTCTGGTGAGACAGCTAATGTGGAAGTTCTGGTGAGATAGCTAATGTGGAAGTTCTGGTGAGATAGCTAATGTGGAAGTTCTGGTGAGACATCTAATGTGGAAGTTCTGGTGAGACATCTAATGTGGAAGTTCTGGTGAGATATCTAATGTGGAAGTTCTGGTGAGATATCTAATGTGGAAGTTCTGGTGAGATATCTAATGTGGAAGTTCTGGTGAGATATCTAATGTGGAAGTTCTGGTGAGATATCTAATGTCAAAGTTCTGGTGAGATATCTAATGTGGAAGTTCTGGTGAGATAGCTAATGTGGAAGTTCTGGTGAGATAGCTAATGTGGAAGTTCTGGTGAGATAGCTAATGTGGAAGTTCTGGTGAGATAGCTAATGTGGAAGTTCTGGTGAGATAGCTAATGTGGAAGTTCTGGTGAGATAGCTAATGTGGAAGTTCTGGTGAGATAGCTAATGTGGAAGAACTCTTTCTTTACCCTCACCTCTACCCAAACCTGAAGGTAGAAAACAACCAGACAGAATTTTGAAATTTCATCATCAATTAACTAAGAAAATATCCCTGGTTTCCAAATCACAAACCATGTATAATGTATTCCTATGCTATGCAATTGGGACAAACATAAGGGGGAGTCTGAGGTGTTAATTCAGCAAGAATAAAGATCTCCCCACAGATCCTTTAGAGGCTTGTGTGGTCGAGCCGAGGCAACACCACAAAGATCCACTTTTACACTGCTTAACAATAAGGGAGGGCCTCCAGGAGAAGTGAGGTCTGTATTACTTCTTCTGTCCACCCTGTGGGCTCTGAGCTGAGTAACACTCCTGGAGGTGGAACAGGGTGAAGGCTGGGGTGACTGTTCCATCTCAATACAGAGAACCCACCATGAGGAGATTTAGCTAGGAATCAAAGTGATCACCAGCAAGGATATGGACAAAAGGGAACCCTTGATACTGTGGAGTGAATGCAAATTAGGACAGCTATCAGGCAAAACAGTATGTGGGTTTCCAAAAAACTACTACTATATTTCTGGATATACATACATACATATGCACACACACACAAAGGAAAGGAACCAACTTTCTACAGAGATTTGAACTTATTCATAAGCTCATTTGCAGCATTATTCACAATAGCAAACGGAGTTGGAAATGTGGCTTCATGGTAGAGTATTTGCTCACAGTACACAAAGCCTTGGTTTTGTCTCCCAGTACTAGAAAAACAAAACAATATTCTTCTTTTACACAACAGCACTGATATAGAATCAACTTCAGTGTTTATCGATGGATGAAGAAAATGTGGGCTATGAACAGAATAACATTCAGCATTAAAAAGGAGGAAATTCTGTCAGCTGCGACATCATGGATGAACCTGGAAGACATTATACCATGAAACAAGTCAGGTACAGAAGGATAAATGTTTCTCAATGCTTCTATGTGGAATCTGGAAAGCCAAACCCTCAGAAGCGAAGACTAAAATAGTGGTTTTCATGGGTGGGGAGAAGGATGGGAAGATGCTGTTTACATGGTACAGTGACAGGCACAGAAAGGATGAATGTGTTCTGGAGAGTCACTGTACAGCATGGCGACCGAGAATAATAGTAATGGGTTATAAACTTGAAAACTGCTGAAACGTCTTAAAACAATTTCACCTCAAACAAAAACGAGTAACAACATGAAGAGATGAATTACCTTGACTGTGGTAATTAGAATACATATAACTACAAAATATCATGTAGTTCATAAATATTTACAGTACAACATTTATACTCAATTATATTTTACTAAATCTGGAAAAGAGAAACACAAAAAAGTAAATGAAGGATGAGATGGAATTGAGAAATTCTAGTAAAAGTATGGAGAGCAAAAACACTAAGATCTAACTGGAAATTACTGTTCCAGGATAAAATTATGCTACAAGCTTTAGTACTATAGAGATAACAAAACAATACACTCAACCAGGTGCTGACTTAAAACATACCACACCACCTGCACAGTTCCGGCACACAGACAATGTTATTAGTGACACACTGAGGATATAACTTAAAGACATTGAAGAGAATATTTGTAATTTGTAGTTAATTTACATTAGTATAGGAGGAATTTTAAATTTTACAATGGCTTAAAGATTATATGCTTTTAACTGACAAATTATTTAACAACAACACAGGTTGACAAGAAAATAAGAAGGTGCAAATATCTGATACCTTAAAACTTTAAAAGAAACATGGAAAGTGATTTAGGACTAGTTACTGAAAAATTCTAAGATGAAGAAGCAACACTCTTGGAATAAAAATAGCAAATACAAATAAACCAGAGAAAACATAAAATAAGCAATTTTAATGATGATCTTCAACAAATAAAAAAGAATTAAATGTACATACAAGGCAGTTACAGACCAATCACTTTACCACAAATAGAGCTGGGAATGTACCTCAGTTGCAGTGTATTTTTCTAGAACCTACAAGGCCCTGGGTTCAATTTCCAACCCTGAGCAAATGGAAACAAAGAAAAAGATGAATCTGTACCTCTGGGACGGAGGCTTCCATCAGAGACAGTGGAGGAGGAACACAGCCACCATCTTGTGCAATTTCTACTGGTTGATAAATAACCTCAGAGGGCTGCAGATATAGGAATGGAGCCGAAGAGGCAGGGGACTAAAACACAAAATGATCCTTGTTATTCAAATATGATTAGTTATTTCTGCTAAGCAAAAATGACAGAACCTAAAATGAAAAAAAATATTTGTTGCATATTTTCCTAAAATGACTTTTCAGGGATAGCATAGAATTATCTTAGAAACAAAGTAGGAAATCCAAGTTGTCATACATTTCAGGTATATAGGTATTATTAAGAAACTTTATTAATGGCAAGTACTGAATGTTTATAGTGCCTCAGAACCTCATAGAGAAATAGACAATAATTATAGGTATACTGATATCATGAAAAGTTACAGTAACAGACCGATCACATTTAAATTGGTCTAAGTGTCTACTTTCAATTTTGTGATTTCACATAGGTGTAAGAAAATACCACTAAATAATTTTTTGGTAGTATACAATTTATTAGGGAAAAATTGGAAAACTGTACAGGTTAACACCTTTGAGACTCCAGATTTTAGAGAAGATTTTGATTTTTGGATTAGGAGTATTCATCCAACAATAGCTATATAAATATCCCCAAATCAAAATATTGAAACAGTTTTGGTCTCAATCATTTCAGATAATGGATATGCAACCTGTTTTTATTTAGGACCATGAGACAAACTAAAGCAAAATCTGAAATGAAGTTAGCAAAATGCCAACGTTTTCAACAACAAAAGTACCAAAATTATTTTTTATGTTATATAGCACTCCTTTATAAAATGTTTTCCACTAACACGATCCCATTTCATCTTCCCCAAAATCCTGGAAGATACTTACAAGGTTCTAACATCACAAAATTCATTTTACAACCGAGGGAGTTCTGAGGCAGTTAAAGGAAACACCACTGCACGCATCTTACACGGGGTTGGGTGGGTGGGGGGGTGGTGTGTGTGTGTGTGTGGGGTGTGTGTGTGTGTGTGGGGTTGGTGGGTGGGTGGGGGTGGGTGAGGGAGGAGTAGTCCAAGGAGACACCGTTATAAATAAAGGAGGGAGGCTCTAAGTCTACTTATCGTGACTTTAGTTTTCAGGGATTTTTAATAAAAACAGAGTGAAAAGAAAGATTGTAAATTAGACACTGGAGGTGGATATTTACCTGGGGAACCCCCCACTGCCACTGCCCTGGTAAACACTGAGCTGGGGCCTAAAATGAGAACAACAAACACACACCTAGGTTACACACAGGGTTAAAAGCGGACATTTCCATGCAAAAGAAAGCTCAGCTTTCAAGGAATGTATAAAAGTTAACTCCGAATGGATTAGAGCTCCAAACACAAAAGCTAAAATAATAAAATTCTTACAAGAATTAGAATACAAAGGTAGAAATCTTCATGACTTTGAATTAGACAATGTTTTAAAAGTTATGCTTTAAAAATACTTGTAACAACTGGGTGATGGTGGCACAGGCCTTTAATCCCAGCACTTGAGAGGCAGAGGCAGATGGATCTCTGTGAGTTCGAGGCCAGCCTGGTCTACAAAGTGAGTTCTAGGACAGCCAAGGCTACACAAAGAAACCCTGTCTAGATCAACCAACCAACCAACCAACCAACCAAACACCCCCAAGCCACATACCAAAGGGACAATACTAATGAGAGCTGGATAAACAGGACCTCATCAAAACTCCTAAAAATTTGACTGCTATAAAGAACTCCATCACTGAAGTAAAATTTAACCCACAAGATGTGAGAAAATATCTACAAATCATAATTATTATTATTATTATTTTTCAAGGTAGGGTTTCTCTGTGTAGTTTTGGTGCCTGTCCTGAATCTTGCTCTGTAGACCAGGCTGGCCTGGAACTCACAGAGATTTGCCTGGCTCTGCCTCCCAAGTGCTGGGATTAAAGGCATGCACCACCACCACCCAGCTAACAAATCATAATTTGATAAGGAAATTTTATCAAGATTATATCAAACCTTTATTTTTTATGTGCAATACCGGTGGTTCGACACAGGGCCCCACGAGTCCTTTGCAATCATGAAACAGCCACACTCTTAAGCCCCAAAGAATACACAAACCTGTTATGTACTGATTTTTAAGGCTACAGGAATAGGGAGTCCCTTTTTGTGTTTATCAGCGTCTCAGAAAGGAGGCACTGGAAGAGATCCACAATGGGATGGGGTTTTCTTCCTACTCAGATGCAGTGAGTCAGTTTTGCATTTGTAAGAGTACACAGGTAGAGAAAAGGAGGTTGTTATTCTCTAGAATTGGTTTACCATAGACTTGCTATACCCAACTTCTCCAGTTTGGAACGTTAACTTCAAATTGTTTGTTGGGACAAGATGTCTTGTCTATAATTCTATGAACATATGAGAATTTTCCTCTTAGAGTAGTTTCAAGTGCGTATTACTTGTACAAAGTAAGACATTTCATTATGACACTTCCATATAGGCATACAACATGCTTTGATCATAACCACCCTATACTCTCCTACTGTCCCATCCAATTCTTTTTCCTTCTTCTTTTAACACACTTAGTAGTTTTTAAGCATATGAGATAAGATATGCTTTTTCTTTTACTTGTTTTTGTGGGTCTGGATTACTTTACAACATGATGATCTTCTGTTCCATCTAATTTCCTGCAAATGACATAATTTCATTCTTCTTTAGAGAGGAGTAAAACTTGTATATATGTTACTTTTCTTTATCTGTTGACTGACTCCTTGGTAGATTCCATACAACAGTGTGGCCCAGCTGAGTCCTATGTAGTTCTGACTTTAGGAGTTCCATCCTGCTTCTCATAGTGGTTACACTAATTGACAGCCTCATCAGCAGTGAATAAGGGTTCCTTTCCTCTACATCGTTTCCAGCATGATTTGTTGTTTTCTTGATGGTAGACATTCTGACTGTGGTGAAATTAAATCTCATTGTAGTTTTGATTTGCATTTTTCTGATGCCTAAGTCTGAATCTTTTGTTTCAAATCTGTACTTGTTTTTTAACCTAAGAAGTGTCACTTTATCTCCACGGACCATTTATTTACCAAATAGTTTGCTTTTTGTCATTTATAGTCTGAATATTAGTTTCCTGCTTGATTCATTTTTTGGGGGGTGTGTTTAACCCTATTCTGTGTGTGGATATCCAGTTTTCTTTTCACTACTTATTAAAGAGGCTGTGTTTTTCCTGTGTCAAGACTCAGATGAATGTAGATGCTTGGGCTAATTTCTAGACCTCCTCAGTCTATTCCATTGGTCTGTGTGTCCATTTTATGGTCTTATAAGGTAAGGCAGTGGATGACTCCTGCAGTGTTCCTTTTACTCCATTGGTCTGTGTGTCCATTTTATGGTCTTATAAAGTAAGGCAGTGGATGACTCCTGCAGTGTTCCTTTTACTCAGGACTGCTTTGACCATTCTGAGTATTTCGATGTACATATGAGTTCTAGGATTTCCTTTTCTGTATCTGGGAAGAACGTTACTGGAGATTTGATGAGCATGACACTGAATTTGTGAATCCTTTTTTGGTAGTAGCTCTTTTAACAGTATTAGTTCTGCTGATTCATGAATGTTACGCAGTTGTTTCCTCTGCATCGAAACACTCCCTCCTGGAGGGAGAAGGACGACTCCAGGACTCAGGAAGCTCACTAAGTTATTACCAAGAGTCTCCTCTGAAAGATCACGTAAGCAGGAGAAAGTCACTGCAGGAGTCTTTCTGATGGCGCTGCCTGCAGTGACAAAGCTGTGGTGTGCTGTCACCATCTTAGGCAGAACTTTACAGTGACCTAGTTCTTTTGGAGTCACCGATGCTCCTGCTGGTAATCCTCCACCCATGCAAGTATGAGCAGCTCTGTTAAACTCACCAAGCCAGACTTGAGTAGAAAGGTTTCTCTGGTCGGTCTTTAGACCCACCCTACCTGGGGTTAAGAGATGACTGTCCACTTCTTCACAAGAAAAGTCACACATCATGATTAGCACCTACATAGGGATCTGACAGACATGAAGAGGAGCTGGACAGGAGCAGTCCATGCTGCTGCAGTGGGTAAGACACACAACTGAAGCTGATCTACCCAAGAATGGAGCATCTGCAGGGGCAATCCCAGCATGGGTACCTCTCCTCATGTGGGATGGGAAGGTGTGCCTCCTTGCTGTAGGGGAAGCAGCATAGTCCATGCTATTGGTGAGAAGATTTAGCTAAGGGTAGGTCATTCCTTTTTTCTTATATTTTTTATTATTTAAAATAATTTTAAACCCACAAATCTTCTCCCCCTTACTACTCACCCAACTTTAAGTTCTTTCGTAAAAAACCAAAACCCCAATGCAACAACACCCCTAAAACCAAGAAAACAAAACTACACCCAAAGAGAAAAAAAAATGACCAAACTGTAACCAAATAAACGTACTTTCCACCCCAAACATGTGTTGGTCCACTACTCCTGACCATGAGGTCTGATATACCACTGGTTACTCACTCTACTGGAGAAAATTGACTTTCCCTCTCCCAGCAGGTATAAGTGACAGTTCAGTTGTTAACCTTTATCCTCCTCACTAGGTTTTCATCCATTCATTCATTTTTAAATAAAAATAACAAAACATAATAAAACAAAAACTATCACATTGAAGTTGGGCAGGACAAACCAACAGAAGAAAAGAGCCCAAGAATCCGAGGCTCATTTAGTTGCACACCCAGGCAGGAGTCCCATGAAACCACTAAACTGAAGTAATAATTTATACACAGAGGACCTGGTGCAGACCCGGGCAGACCCTGTACTTGCTGCTTAAGTCTCTGTGAGTTCATGTGAGCTTTGCTCATGTTGATTTAGAGAGCCCTGTTTTTTTGGTGTCCTCCATCCCCTCTGGCTCTTATACTTCCTGTCTCTTCTGCAAAATTCCCTGAGCTCTGAGGGGAGAGATTTGATGAAAATATCCCATTTAAGGCTGAGTGTTACAAGGTCTTTTACTCAAAGAGTAGGTCATTCTTAGGAGGAATTTCAGGGTGTCTACCTTCCTCCATGTGGTATGAGGTGGCATGCAATCTTGATTAATAGGGTCTGCTATAAGTACATGGATGCTCCCCTTTAAACGGTCAAAGAAGTAGCGAATATAATGCAACCCCCCAAATGTAGCATGCATGGGATGGAATCACAGGCAGACAGCAGTAGCTGTTTGGTGGCGGGTGAATTTGCCTAAGTGGGGAGGAGTTCTGAAGACTGTAAAGAAACATGTGAATGCCATCTACCGCACTAACCTCTGATTGGCAGGAAACGTGTGACAAAGGAAGACGAGATGAGGTTTTGGCTCTCCCTTTCTACTGGTGTGATGAGAGGGAGAGGAAAGATAACGAACATGACTACAAATTAGATCTCTGTTAAAGAGCCCATCCTGGGATCCCAAACTTGGAACCCCTGGGAAGAATCAGAGACCAAGGAGGAAAGGTGCAAAGGAGCAGTAAGAGAAAATACCCCGTGATCAAAGGGCATCCGGACCTGATACAGAGTGTGATCAAAGGGCATCCGGACCTAAAACAGAGGAAGGGAAAATCCACGTTTCAGCATGAAGACGGGGACTTAGCGGCTCAGCACTTTGGACTATGGTAGTCAGTGAGTACATCTGAACTGAGTGAATTGTGAAAGAGCACCTCACGGCTTAGCTTGTGTGGTTTGGGACAAGGGGGTATGTGGGCTCAGTCTGAGTGCTGTGGAAGCAGAGACAAAGTCCATAGGAGGAGAGAGATGCATGGCAATCTTGCAGTAGTGCCCATGATTAGGATGTGGGATGGCGCATAGAGAGATAGATGGCATAGTGTATCCCAGATAGGCTGCTTTACACACTTAAAAAATTGTATTTACTTATTGTGTATGGGTGTTTTGCATGCATGTGGGAAATGCTATGAAAAGTAAAGAAAATACCTCTTGTTTAGGGTTTGGGTGGGGGAGAAAAAGGCGTATCTGCTAATGGTTACAGTTTATTTTTTTAAAGGGAGTGGTTAAGTATTCTAAAATATTGGTATACTATATATCAACTCTGTTTAGTATAAACTACTCAATCGTATACTTTTAACAACTGAGCAATATAGTATGCAAATTTTATCTAAATAAAGATAATGATTTTGTATTATCAAAGATGTTTTACTTTTACTCACTTTTATAAGGTCTTCGTTACTGAAGGGGGAAGGGGGAGAGCGAGAGAGAGAGAGGGGAAAGGAGGGAGAGAGGATAGAGAGACAGAGTCAGAGAGGAGGGACTAAGACTAGAACCCCACAGATCTATTATCTAAACCAAATCACTGGACAGTGCTGACCACTTGAACTTCCAAAGGATGATACCACTATATTATAATAATGACTAAGATAACTGAAATCTGTTGATATATGACATTTAAAAACGCAGGGTAAAAACCTCTGACTGCTCTGATAAAATCTTGAAATACAATGATTAATATGTGGCTTTGTTAGACAAATGAAGGAATTAACTACAATGGAAACAGAATGACAGAGGTTAATGTCATGAATTATCTGGTATGAAGAACAGGATCTGAGGAAGCCATCAATCTTTACCTTTAATTTTGTAATTAGTGTCAAACATGAAGTCAGAATCAGAGTATAAAATTAAATGATAGTTTCTAAAATTACATATATGTCAATAATATTTATTGCTACAATTAATAATATTACTATATCAATAATTAATTAATAAAGGGGCTAGACTCAGGATACAAGCAAAATCCAACTTTCTTCTTTCTCACTTCTGATACTTTAAAAGCACTCTGTTGTTTTTCCTTGTCCCTGGGTTTGACAGAGAGCAAATTACTGTTTTGGAGTTTGGCAGATTCCAAATACCAGCTGTCCGGTATGGAACTTTACTAGACCCTTTGATGATATTCTTCTTAGGAACTTCTGAGGAGGTCACATTCTTTTTGTACAGATTCTTAGCTGGGTTCATCCACATGTTTTTTTGGGAAGAGTTTCTTCTGTCAGGTTACAGCTTGTTTTGAGGAAACATGAACCTTTGCTTTAACAGATTCCTACTACAGACTTTTTCCCTGGTTCTGCCAACAAGCTCTTTTTTGTGTTTCTAAGGAGTTCAAGACCCAACGTGCCAACATCCTCACAGACTCAGCAGATGGGTTCTAAGTCCCCCAAGTCACTCTCTGAGGTCCTTACTTGGCTGAAGAGATGCGGATATGCCATAGCACACTAACAAATCTTCATTAGTCTCACATTCCTCTTACATGCGATTTAGGTGGGAATGAACTAAGTTTCTGAAGCGGTTTCATAATACTTTGGCCAGTTACTTTAACTGGTGTGGTACCTAACGATCTGTCTTTAGTCTTAGCTGAAACCCTATGATGGCTTAGAAAAAGTCATGCTACAAATATATTTTACATAAATGCCGTTAAGATACTTTGATTTTTCATAAGTGGAGAAAATATCTTAGTTTATTAGCATTGTAAAATTAAAATTAAAATTAATTAAAAATACAAAAACTAAGTCTAATAGTAGGGGGATGGAGAGATGGCTCAGTGGTTAAGAGCACTTTCTGTCTTCTAGAGGACCCAGGTTCTGCTTCCAGCACCTACACAGTGGCTCACAACTGTCTGTAACTGCAGTTCTAGAGCATCTGCTTTCCTCTTCTGGCCTCCAAGGGTGGTGCACATAAATCCATGCAAAGCCACTCACACACAGAATAATATAATTAAAAAATCTAATAGTAAAGGATTACAGAACATTAATACAACTACTTCTTTTTCTTTTTTCTTTCGGTTTTTGTTTTTGAGACAGGATCTCACAGACCCAGAACGGCCTCCACTGTCTATACAGCCAAGAGAGATCTCCTGTCTCCACCTCCCACTTCCAATTTAGGTGGTGCCGAGGCTAGAACCAGGACCTCCTGCATGCCAGGACAACTCCACCTGTCTTGTCCTCTCTCTCCTTTGCTGTCCTTTTCTCCTACCTTCCTCCCTCTGTTTCTCTTCCTTCTTTTCACACTGCTGGAATAAAATCAAGGGCCTTACACATGCTAAGAAGAATTTTATCACTGAATTTCATTCATAACCCTGCCACATTTCATATGGATGTATTTTAAAAGTTCAAAAAGAAAAAAACAGTAACAAAACCCAAAAGCTCTTCCACTACTCTAGAAATATTAAAATTTGATTTTATGTGCAAATGTTATAGATCACAGGATGACAAAAAGTTTTTAAAGAAAGGCTAGAATAAATATTTTAAAATGTCCATGCAGGTCATAAGACCTCTGTTAGAATTATACAACCTTTGAAAGCAAAGGCAATCACAGATGTGACATAAATTAATACAGCTATATTTTAGTAATGCTTTATTTATAAAAATAGGTTGTTACCTGAATTTTGTCTAGAAGTCATTGTTTACCCTGCCAAAAGTTAAATGGGACATTATACCATAGTTCTCATTCCTAATCTCCCACGAGAATTAAAAATGAGTGCTGGCTAACTAAAAGAGGCTACCATAATAACTGATATATTATAGTATACTGATTACTTCAAAACATACTGTATTAAATGTAACAGTCACAAATTAAAAGTAACATTAAAAGCACAATGCCTGTACCTGGCTTTGTGAATTAATGCTAAAGATTTTTTTTTGTGGGGTTGGGAATGGAGCCCAGGGCACTACAGATGCTATGAAAGCATTCTACCACTGTGCTACATCCCAGCCTAATAAAGGCGTTTTAGAATAAATTTTAAACAGGAGAGAACTGAATTCATTACATTTGTGAAAGGAAGCAAATCCATCCTCTCTTAAGACTTAACTATCTTTTCCCAAATTAGTCTTTGCATATAAAAGAAAGAAATGAAATTTACCTGAAAAGGACTTAAAAGTATTGGACCTTTAAAAAAACGTACTTAGAGCTGGGCGGTGGTGGCGCACGCCTTTAATCCCAGCACTCGGAGGGAGGCAGAGCCAGGCGGATCTCTGTGAGTTCGAGGCCAGCCTAGACTACCAAGTGAGTTCCAGGAAAGGCGCAAAGCTACACAGAGAAACCCTGTCTCGAAAAACCAAAAAAACCCAAAAAAACAAAAAAAAAAAAACCAAACAAACACAACAAAAAAAAAAACCAAAAACGTACTTAGGATCAAATCGTGTCCCTCCTACATGCTAAGCAACCTTGAGGGTGTATGTGCACGTGTGTTGTATGTGTGCACACAAGTGGAGGCTACAGGCTCACTTGCTCTCCTTACTCTCCTTATTCTTTGAGACAGTGTCTCTCTCCGGTCTGACTGGCTAGCAAGTGAGCTCAAAGACCTGTTGTCTCTGCCCCTGTGACCCTGGGTGACAGTCACATGCCTAGGTTTTGAGCAGTAGGAGGTTTTTTCCACTGAGCCATCTGCCCAGGTCCCTCAGCCCAGAGGTTCTAAGGAATGCAATGCCTACCTGGTAGTGATATGCAGCAGGCTGCTGATAAACCGGCTGAGCTACCATCACAGGAGAACTAGATATGGATCGTGACTGTGGGAGGAAGCAAAGTTCACTTTAGGAAAAACTCGTTAAATTACAGTAAAAGTTTATCTTGAATTATTACCTAAGATCAGTTAACTTTCTATTATTGATTAAAATGTTATTTTTTATTTCCTCTTATGGTATTATTACCAACTTTATTTAAATCTACTTACTAAAATAATCAATTTTCCTATGTGGCTTCATTTCCATAGTAACACTAAAACACCAGTAAAGTTTCTTTAAGTCTGAAACTTAATACCTCCAAAAGTTATGAAAATAGAGGTCTATGATAACATTAAAAAAAATGGCACCTGAACTAAGGGTCACAGCCTATTTCCACTGCAGAAACCAGAAGTAAGTTGTATTTACAATAGCAGGTAACATCAAATGAATAATCATATGCTGATTTTCCCATTTCTTAGAACCAATATTCGATTCCATTATATATTTAATTAAAATATTGTGCCGGGCGGTGGTGGCGCACACCTTTAATCCCAGCACTCGGGAGGCAGAGGCAGGCGGATCTCTGTGAGTTCGAGGCCAGCCTGGTCTACAAAGCGAGTTCCAGGAAAGGCGCAAAACTACACAGAGAAACCCTGTCTCGAAAAACCAAAAAAAAAAAAAAAAAAAAAAAATTGTTTACGGCAAAGCTACACAGAGAAACCCTGTCTTGAAAAACAAAAAAAAATATTGTTTACTGAAATACAGTGAAATAATATTTAAGTAATTTAATATTTAAATGAGTTAATAATCGAAAAATTGTGGTGGTCTGTATTTGAGGAAAATAAAGTATCTTTTGATTATTCAAAATGACAAAGTAAGTGCCCAAAGAGATTACTTAAGACCAGGTAATTAATAAAAAAGGTAAGTTATATTTCAATAGAGGCAAAATAAACTGATGATAGTGATTAAGATTTAATTTCTAATTTGGAACGTAGTATAATATTATTTTGTTTAAATGCCTACAACCCCAAAGTCAAGAAAATTATCATGGTTTTATACAATTCAGACTTGACATGCTAATAAAATGATAGCACAGATAAGGCTAGAAAGTAATAGTGCGTTTTACTGTTATTAATATGTTAGAGGAAAAACCTGACCATTTCAGAAGACAGAGAAATGCATTTAAACAACTGCTTTTTATAATGAAAATTATTAGCAAACATAACAGAGAACAGCATAGGAGAATACTTTGAACCATAATTGATTTTGCCTCATAAGAACATTTGGCTACGTTAGGAGACATGCTTGACTGCCATAATTATGGCAGAGACCCTTTTAGTCATTTTACAATGCCCTGAATAGAATTCTACAACAATGAAATATTTGGTCCCAAGTAGAAATCTTTGACTGTCAAGACTTCAAACTCTATTTCACAGTGTCTTCTCAGATTGAACATTGGGGCCATTGAGGAAAGACCACGACTTAGAGCTTATCCTTAACAGGATGGGTTAGTGACCGAGTATGATGAATGTGACAGTCTGCTGCAATGTTGGGACAGTGGTTTTAGGAGAGGTAAGGACGTAGGCTCTTGGGGCCATCTGGTGGAGATTACAGAGTACTAGATGTAAACAAGGCATCTACAAAAGTAGGTCCAAGTTCATCACACTAATTCTAAATTCACAAAATAATTACCATAGGAAAAAAACTACAACATGCTTGGACTTGTAAACTGTGCTTTTTTGTTTGTTTTTTGGAAAGAGGGTTTGTCTGTGTTGCCCTGGCTGTCCTGGAACTTGCTCTAAGACTCAAACTCACAGAGATCCACCTGCCTCTGCTTATAAGTACTGGGATTTACAAGTACTGGATTAAAGGCATGTACACCCCTCCCCCGGTGTGAACTGTGCTTTAAAGGGTGTCAAGAAGAATTTAAACTTGAGGACCTAAAGAAGCCAGAATTAACTAAATAGTATTTTCACATATAATAAAGATTCTAATTTGATGTTCAGCTTGTCACATTAAGAAGAGAGTTTGGAAGTTGAAGATGAATAAGTGCTGAAGTAGGGTCTCTTTTGATTTTTTCCTGCTAGAATGCCTGGGCACTTCATTTACCAAGGTTGCCATCATGACCAGGACTATCATAACTAGGACTATCAGAATTGACTGTTTACATTGCTTTTGACTTAACAGTGAGGATAAATATAAATTTCATATGAGATTGATATTACATAAAACAGTAAGATTCGTGGTAGCTTTTCTGTGGGTCAGATATCAAACCCACATATTTTAGCAGTCACTTTGATTTATATTTTGTGTGTGTGTGTGTGTGTGTGTGTGTGTGTGTGTGTGTGTGTGTGGTGTGCATTTGGCTGTGGAGGCCAGAGGTTGGTGTTGGAAGTTTCCTTGGACTGCTCTCCACTTTATTGAGGCAAGGTCTCTTGATGAACCAAATAGCTTGGTGATTCCAGCTTTTATGTAGATTATGAAAGCCGGTACTAACATATTCAGGGCCAAGTACTTTATTTACTAAGCCATCTACCCAGTCCACAGATTCACCTGAAAAAGATTTATTTTTACTATCTTAGTTATGTGTATAGGAGTGTGTCTGTGTGTACAGATGAGTGTTAAGTACCTGCAGAATTCAGAAAAAGGTGTTGGATCTCCTGAAGGTGGAATTACAGGAAGTTGTGAGCCATCCAACATAGGTGCTGGGAACCAAACTCAGCTCCCCTGCAGAAGCAGTTCCTGCTCTTAACTGCTGAACCATTCCCTCTGCCCATTTCACTTTTTTTTTTTTTTTTTGGTTTTTCGAGACAGGGTTTCTCTGTGTAGCTTTGCGCCTTTCCTGGAACTCACTTGGTAGCCCAGGCTGGCCTCGAACTCACAGAGATCCGCCTGGCTCTGCCTCCCGAGTGCTGGGATTAAAGGCGTGCGCCACCACCGCCCGGCCCATTTCACTTTTAAATGAACAATGTATAGTGTAAGGGGACCACACTGTCAGAACTTAGCCTATTTTAAAACTAGTATAAAAATTCTCATCATACTATTCAACATACTTGGTTTATAAAATAAGTAACAACAATTAAGTTGTTTTAACTCTTGCATATCAGGAGAGCTTGTCTTTACTTACAGTTGTCTACTAGGTAAATTCTGTTTACTGAATGAATGTTAATAAAAACTATATGAGCCTAAATGAATTGTAAAGCTCTAGACCTTAAGCTCATGGAAATGCAAAATACTCATCTTCTCCATGTCATGCAAATATTCTTAGGTATGCAACAGCCTTCTGTACCCTGTGTAGTATTGTACCTTTTGTTTGATGTTGCTGATGAAATGTAAAAATAATTCCTTAAAATCAATTATTAACATGTAGAAAAAAATGGAAAAAAGAGTATCTTAAGCCACCTAAATGTATGCATATCTCACTATATATAAAGTCCAACAGTGATCCCTCAATTTCTTTCTTTTCCCCGGAACAAGACTATATTATAGTGACATCATGTCAATATTCTATCACAGACAGTGCCACTACAATAATCAAGAGAAAAAAATAAAAACCCCATAAAGAAATCAAGGTATACTGAATGACAAATGAAAGTTTGACAGAATTAGTGACACAATATTGACATACCAAATCAAAGGCATTAATTACTAGCCAACAGTCACAAACTATTAGGAAATAGCGTATTTTTTTTAAAAGGGCATCTTTCATAAGTGTAACAATAACTACAGAGTAGTAAGAATCAAGTAAACAAAATATATGTCACTTTTTCTTATCAAAAAAGTAAAAAGTTTTGATGGGTGAAAATAAGCCTAACCTACCAAGGCATACCCTCTTTGCTCCAACCCTCTCTGTCCATATCCGACACAGAGCTACCAAAAGTTTGTTCACATGCCCAGATCTGCTGCAAATCTATAAACAACATGAAATCTCAAACTAGTTTCTTCCCTCTAAAGCCCAACAGTCCTGTAGAAATGTTTGCCAATGACATTACCTAGATGAGCTATAGGGCGGACAATTTAAAAGAACAATAATAAATTTCCACCAAGGAATTCAAGTTTAAAGAAGACACAAAGAAACAGCTCAGTGAAATTAAGGAGAAAGAACTTAAGGAGAATAAACCTGAGCGATGGCCAAGAAAACACAAACATAAGGCTGACAGAAATGATGAAGACAGTTCAAGACTTCAAAATGGAATCCAATAAACAGAACATGAAGAGGACTCAAGCTGAAATGAAGATGGAATTGAAAAACCCAATAACCCAACTAGAAAACTCCAAAGGAAAGCCTTCCAAGCAGAATGAATCAAGCAGAAGATAGACTATCAGGACTCAAAGATAAAGTAGATGATCTATACAAAATAAGGAATACAAAAACAATTAAAGAAATACAGGAAAGGAACACACAGGAAATGTGGGACACCACAAAATGGCCATACCTTAGAAATATAGGCATAGATGAGTGAAAGGAATCCTAAGTCAATGGCATGTCAGATCTTCAACAAGATCACAGAAGAAAATTAGACACAAGAAGCCCACAAAACACCAAATAGACAAGACCAGGAAAGAAAATTCCATGGCACATTATAGATAGAGCAGTGCTAGAGAGGTGCACACTCCAACCTTACCAAGTCATCTCTTTAACCCCAAAGACTTTTTAAAAAAATTTTTTTAAGACAAGGTCTCTCCACATAGCCAAGACTAGTTATTTTTAAGGGCTGGCACACACTGGAAAAATTGGAGCTTGAATAAAGCATAAAAAGTATACTTCTTTTCTTTTTGAAAGCTACAAGTCAACATGTAGTAAAAGACACATATATTTTATCAATGTGAAACTCGGATTCTAAGATATATTCTAACCTAGTGTTAAGAGGACCACAGACATTTTATAGTGATATATGGGCATGACCAATGAGTAAGACTACAAGTTTTCAGATCATAAGGCCCCTTTTGACTGAATGTATCTGTATTCTACATTTTCTTAATAAAACTCCCCTTCTCAATTTTCCTTTTCTTAAGAAGGCATGTCTTACTCACTGTAGATGTGGCCATAATACTTTCTTTGGAGTATAAACACCACCCCGGCATGAATACACAATTCAAGAAGGCAATGCCATGTAAAGTAGGAAGAAACAAAGCCAAAAGACTGTGTAACAAAAATTAAAGGTAAAACAGTACCTTATTTCATTCAGGGAACAATCTTAAATTAGTAGATGGATTCATGGGATACATATTAATCTATCTATTTGAGTTTAATAATAAAGCCAGAATATTCTTATAGTGTTCTGCTTAGTTGCTTAGTCAACTAATTTTGTTAACTTAGTTAACTAAGCTGTCGAGCAGGCATTTTCAATTATTAAAACAAAGCCAAATATACAGGTACAAAGTATTGATTAAGATATATTTATAACAAATCTAGAACATATAACATGCCTCTACTATTGAAACTTAGAATGAATTTCAAATATGAATGAATAAATCCGTAATTTTTCAAAAGCAATCTAAAGGTATGTAAACAAATCTGAAAAACACTGTCCCAGAAGAGCTTACATACATACAAGATCTGGTTGTTCCATACTGATTATAGAAAAAATAAAAATATCTATGACTAGAGGAATATAAAACTGATAGTACACCAAAAATAGAATATTATAAAGTATTAGAATAAGTGAACCAATATATGAGGCTATGTGAGCTTTACTACTTTTTTATGTGTATTGGTGTTTTTCCATGGCTGTCAGATCCCTTGGAACTGGAGTTACAGTTATGAGTTGCCATGTAGGTGTTGGGAATTGAACCCAGGTCTTCTGGAAGAGCAGCCAGTGCTCTTAACCACTGAGCAACCTCTCTAGCCTCTAAGGGTTAAAACAGTATTGTCTGCCAAGAGTCAATAGTTTAATTCTCAAAAATGTAATGTAAAAGCCAGATTATTTACATAGTGTTTAAAAACTACCCAAGGAGTTCCTATATTGTTTACTGGAGTATGTATTTGTAATAAGAGTAAACAAAATGAAGAAGGTATCCTGAAGAAAGGATAGAAGGTATGGAAATAAGGAAACTACCTGAATTTGCCATATTTTATTTCTTCTTTCAAAAGACCTTAAATTAATATGGAAAATATTATTATTTGTTAAATTTGGGTAGTAGGGATGTGGCTATATATATATTGTATTTGTTTGTTCACTTCAGAATCACGGCCAGTAAGATGGCTCGCTCAATGGATATGGGCTCCCAGGGCCAGTATGATGGAAGAAGAGAACTAAGTCCTGCAAATTGTACTCTGACCTCCACATTCATTGGTTGACACAGACAAAAATAAACAAATGCAAAGTTAATCAAATACATAAGAATAAAACAAATCTTAAAAAATTTGGTAGTAACTCTTCTAAAATGAAAATTACTTACAGGCCAAGACGGTGGGACAGAAGTTACTTCTGGAGTATGAAAATAAGCAACGCCATTATGGTAAGTGTAAGGATATCCAGTTGAAGTGGTTAGATACATTGTTCCAGCAGCAGGCATTATACTGGAACCTAAAACAAAGAATAAGTAAAAAATGAAAGTTTAATTTTATAAATATGTAATTTATGAACATATTTCAGAAAAATATTTTAAGATTTCTACATAGCTGCAGTAAAAAGTATTTCAAGGTCTATGTATTACACTAACTTTGACTCAGAGCTTTTATTAGATTATTAGGGATTAAGGAATAAACAAGGTAAATAAATATTAAAATCCTCCAATTCAGATTCTAACATCAGTTTAATGAAACAATTTAATTATTAGTTAACTAAGTTATTATTTTTATAAGTATAAATTATATTGAGAACTTGAAAACTACAGACTCTATAGTAAAGTTCCTAAGATCTTGACTGCACCTATTTATAAAAGTTCAAAGATAATGGAGACAGTGAAGCTGGAGAAGATTCTAGTTTCCTAAAGGCACTTGGATCCATTTTAGCAATTCTTTGGGTTTAATATCAGCAGCATTGTTTCATGTTATGACTCTCTTTTAGCTCTACTTTCCCTTTGGTTATAACTTCTGCTATTATAACCATGACCATACTCCTTGATGCAGTTAGTCTAGGATCCCCATCTGTTTTTCTAGTTCAGGATTTACACAGCACACACATAGAGCACACACACATGCACGTACACACACATACACAAACATACACACACACGCTCTCTCTCTCTCATATTGTCATATGGCCAGTGTAGCCAATTGGTGAATACCAGGTTCAGTGAGACACTTTTGCCTCAAAAATAAAATGGAGAGCAATAGGAGAGTATATTCTAGGTCAACTTCTAACTTCCACACATGAGCACCTGTGCACACATGCAAATATAAACATATACATACTACATACACAGTATGTGTATCATATGACCTAAATTACACTATTTGCCCACTGACTACTCCTCCCATTATGCCAGTGCTTAACTTCAACATACATAAGAACTGCCTAGCCTACTTAAATACCAACTCTAGGTACCCATCTCCAGAGACTTTGATTTAGTAAGCCTAAAATAAGGACTATAAATTTGCATTTTGAGCTCACATTTGAACTGACACTTTCTGCTTAAGTGGCACTGTTTTGGCTTTTATGTTTCCGTTTTGATCTAGTATTGCTCCTATTTAGTTCTAATTCACATGTACATATGCACGTATTTAATGTGTGTGTGTAGGTCAGAAGATCAACTGTGGGAGTCAGTTCTCACCTTCTATCATATGAACTCGAGGGACTGACAGTCAAACCAGGTGGCCAGGACCTTATTCACTAAGCTATCTTGTTAGTCCTATTTTAGTGGTTTTCAAAAACCACCTTTGAAAATTTATTTGTATCCCCCTTCATCTCCTTCGGTTGTCTTATTGCGCTAGCTGAGTCTGCAATTACTATATTGGAATAGGTATGGAAAAAGTGGACATCCTTTTGAGTTTCTCTCTGTTTAGGTTGATGTTGGTTGTGGGCTTGCTATAAATTACCTTTGTTATGTTGAGGTATGTCCCTTGTATCTTGAGTCTCTTCAGAATTTTTATCATGAAGGGATGTTGAATTTTGTCAAAGGCCTTTTCTGCACCTAATGAGATGATGTGGTTTTTGTCTTTCAGTCTATTTATATGGTAGATTACATTCATTGATTCACATATGTTGAACCATCCCTGTATCTCTGGGATGAAGACTACTTTATCATGGTGGATAACCTTTTTGATGTGTTCTTGAATTCAGTTTGCAAGTATTTTATTGAGATTTGTTTGTATCTATGTTTATAATGGATACTGGTCCGTAATCTTTTTTTTGGTTGGGTCTCTGTGTAGTTTAGGTATCAGGGCATTTGTGGCCTTGGAGAAGGAATCAGGAAGTAGTCCTTCAGTTTCTACTTTGCGGAGTCATTTAAGGAGTAATGGTATTAGTTATTCTTTGAAGGTCTGATAAAATTATGTACTGCATCCATCTGGCCCTGGCCTTGTCTTTTTTTGGTTGGGAGATTTTAAATTACTGCTTTGATTTTACTAGGGATTATGGGTCTGTTTAAACTTTTTATTTCATCTTGATTTAATTTTGGTGGCTATCTATATAAAGAAATTCATCATATAAAATCATGGACATTTATCATAAGTATATATAGTTAATATACAATTCAAGAGGTTTTTAAGTTTATCTGTTAAGTATATCAATACATTTTTAGTGCATACTAAGATGACATTGAGCTAGGAATGGTATAAAGCAAAACAATTGAAAAACCAGACATGACATCTTCTCCATCTTTTAGAAGTTTGGTTCTGATATATGAGACAGTCATTACATAATTACACAATTAGTTAGTTAAATAAATCATTTTGATATTTAATTATTTTTTGTTTTTTTTTTTTTTTGAGACAGGGTTTCTTCATGTAGTTTTGGTGCCTGTCCTGGATCTTGCTCTATAGACCAGGCTGGCCTAGAACTCACAGAGATCTGCCTGGCTCTGCCTCCTGAGTGCTGGGATTAAAGGCATGTGCCACTGCCGTCTGGCTGATATTTACATGTTTTAAACTATGTATATATCCCTGTGGGGGTATCTGTGCGTGGTATGTGCTCCAGTGCAGTGTCCATGAAGGCTAGCGGCACTGGGTCGTCTTTCTGGACCTGGAGTTCCAGTCACCTGATGTGGGTGCTGAGAACCAAACTTGTGTCCTCAGAGCTGTGCGCCTGACTGCAGAGCACCTCTCTAGTGCCCTTCCTAAGTTTTGACAAATATATGAAAAACCAGAACAGAGCAGAATGTTAGGTACTATATTGAATGTTTACATTATTTTACATGCAAATATGTAAACTTAATCTATGGGGCATCTGTGAAGAACGATAGATAATCTGGGCTTCAAAGACAGAATGAGGCGTCAAAAAGAGCACTCGAGGTAAAGAAAACAGTGGTATGGATATCATAGAGTCTTGAGAAGTATGCCATGGTCTGGCTTCGAGAAGGCTTTTGGCACTGGCCCAAAAAGAAATGGGAATAGTTAAAAATAAGCTGAAGATAAAATGATGTAAGCTGATGTGTGCTTTTTAAATATTGCTTTGGTTGTTTTATGAATGATTAAGCAGCAGCAGCAGGCTGCATACAGAAGTACCCATTAGGAGAGTTTCCCAGCAATGAAGGTAAGTAGACTGGATTGTTGGGAAGATAAGGCTGCTAATGAAATAAAAAAGAAATGACATATTTGAGAAAAAACTAAGATATGAATCTCTTAAAATTGTGGAAATAAATTTTAATATTTATTTTTATTTGCAGAGAACATAAAAATAGCTTTGGAGTCTAGAAGTCTTGGAATGAAGGCTAATGCTACCATTTGGCAAGTTTATTGTATACTTCTCACATTAGAATATGGGGTGTTATACCAAGAGAGAGGGTATAGGCTGAACATGGTGATAGTCTCACAGAGGCAGTTTAATTCAAACAATTGTTATTTTTGGAAAAAGTTTATCTTCAAATAAGCAAACAATTAATACTAAGAAACAGAATGCAATTTATCCATGGAGATTTAACATAAACTAAGACTTCTAAGAAAATATGGAATTCCAGTGTACAATAGATAGATCTACAAATGGCCAAGATCATCTCCCCTCTATTATTAAGAGTATTTCAGCGGAAATGTCAACTGGTATTTTCATTATTCAGGTCTTGTTTAGTAGACCACACTTCAGAGATTTCATAGATGCAGCAAAATGGTTTTAAAATGACTTTCCCTTTCTAAGGCGTGTATTATATGTGTATTATAAAAACAGAGCTAACATTTCTCAAGTTGCTATTTCGTGAAACAAATGAAAAACTGTAACGTTGGCTCTTTTGCTCATTAATTCTGAATAAACTATTTGTAAATTTGAAAGCAATCAGTAGACAATGGACCAAAGAACTGTTGATACATTTATTACAGCTAAACTCTTACAATAAACGGTATTCCGAAAATTTTCAGAATCCTGCTATATTTAGTATAATCATCTCTCTGTCTCCCTATGTGTCTGAATACTTATAAACTTGCATGTAGAGGCCAAAGTTTGATGTCAAGTATCTTCTTCAATCATTTTCCATTTTATTTTTAGTGATAGAATCTTTCACAAACATGGAGCTCACTGATTTAACTAGACGGCTGGCAAGCAAGCCCCCGGATTTTCTGGTACCTGCCTCCCCAGCTCTGGGATTACAGGCACATGTTGCTGTGCTTTGCTTTTTTACATGGTTTAGAAGGGATCCAATTCAAGTCCTTATTCTTGTGGCAAGCACTTTACTGACTAAGACATCTTTGCCTAAGTTAATAAATGCTGAGTCAAAGATAAAATATTTGTTAACTGCTATCAACAGAACACTTCAAATTAACACAATCTATAAATCTGTTGACAGTGATATAATAACAGCCTAATGTTTTATCATCCCAGTAGACATACAATATGGCTAAGGAAAAATACAACCAGTAACAATTTTTTGTAAAAATTTTCTTTAATAAACTACAGAAGTACTTAATATAAAAAGTTGAAAGTAGGAAAAAAAGAGTCAAAGGATTACAAAAATCTGAGGAAGGCATGCATAAAAGTTAGTTATCTAATCCCAAAGACTTAGTGATTGCTTTCTCGGATAATTAGGACATATGAGGTTTGATTAAAGAACTTTTCATGCAGTTATTTTTTGTTATTAGTTATGTATTTTTACTTTCCATACTTTGGTTAATTTAAAATACTTCTATAATCATGAATACTTTTAATTAGAATTCTAAATTTCTTTAGCTCTTTTAAGTGATATTATCATTATAATTGTTTCCTTTGAATTTATGTCCAAGGGTGAAATACCTGTGTCTATATTACTGTTCTATTTACAACAGCAAGGAAAGGGAATCTGCCTAGAGGTCCATCAACAGATGAATGGATAATGGAAATGTGGTACATATACACAGAAGAATTTTATTCAGCAGTAAAAAAATGAAATTATGAAAATTTCAGGAAAAGGAATGAATCTGGAATGTACTATCCTAAGTTAGGTAAACCAGACTCAGAAAGAC